TGGCTTGGTTAATGGGGCAGCTGGACAGCTTATGCAAATTGATTTCCATTCTTCTTTTCCAACAATTCTGTGGATTAAATTTTTGGAACCTTCTGTTGGTTTGATAGCACGATCAAAAAAGTCTCATCCTCTAGAAAGTTCTTGGACACCAATTGAAAAAGTTCTAAAATCTTTTCAATATAAAAGAAATTAACAAATTTCAATTGAAAGAAATCAGTTTCCAGCCACATATAATAAAGTTGTAGTTCATACTCGACCCAGAATGCCTAGAGCTTCAATATAAGTCGCTTGTAGTCAAGCTACTTCTGCAGAAGGTCTATTCGTCATAGGAAATTTTATTCCTCCTAACAAATTTTCTGAATCGGATCCCGTATTTAGGGAACTGAGGGAATAAAAGGGAAATAAAGCTTTGACAACAAGTTTCAATTTTATGATTTCCCGAACATCAGGACATCAAATTTTATTCCATAATGTTCAGAGTCTTCACGCTCACATTAATGATATAAAAAGCGACTGTTTGATGCTATCTTCAGATATTTTATGTTTTGTAGAAACTTGGAGTTATCCTTGCGAAAGTTTTGATATACCAGGATTTACTCCAATTAACGAGCTGAGGATAGATAGCACGGAAACAACCAACAGAAATAAACGGGGCATTATAATATATGCAAAGCATAGTATTGCTTGCTCTATAGAATCAAAGGCTGTAAAGAAAATTTATTCAGGCCGCAAAGTTTTAGAAGCGGTTTTGTTTAAATGTTTCAATATTAATATTCTGGTTCTATATAGAAATTCAGCTTTCTCTGTCAGACAATTAATTGTAAAACTTCAGGAAGTCCTTACTTCTGTGTTAGGCAATCAAAATGTGCTAATTGTTGGAGATTTTAACATTTGTTTAATGTCTACAGGGACTGCAATAAGAAATCTGCTCCAAGAAAAAAACTTTAGTTCCCTGCTTGGTGCAGAATATTCAACTACACCTGCCGGTACATAAATTGATTGGGCAATTTCAAACATGGATCCTTCCCGTGTAAATGCAATTACTTTTGAGACAGTACACAGCTATCATGACAGTATTTGTGTCTCTATTTCGAACTAAATTTTTCAGACTTAGTGCAATAGTTCTTAATTTTTTTTTTCCAAATATAATCGAATTGGAATAGTATAGGAATTTTGACAGTAGTTTTTAAGACAATTTTAAGAAAAATATGTAAATAATCTAATTAAGAAACTTTAAATTATATATATAATTTGTTATTATATATGACATTATTTTATAAATATATGATAGAAATTAAATAGTATAAGGAAAAAAGAAATATAATTTGGGTATATGTATAAGAATCTCTACAAAAATTTATATTTAATATTGTAAATATTATATACAAATTAATATAATAATATTATATCATTTTTAAAGTTGTTAATATTTATTATTTTTAAGCTAAACATGTATAATAATATCGATATAATAAATAAAAAATGTTATTCATTGTCCAAAAACGATTTCTTTTCATACATCTCAATACAGTTGTAATGCATTCTATATAAAATCAATTATAAGCGTATACAAAAAGCACAAGAACGATTTCTCATAATTTGAGTAAAGTTAGTTTACAAATTGCTCTAATTATTTTCACTGTGAGAGAAAAGTAAATAACTAAGGCAACAGTTCCTACTTCTAATTATTAAAATATATAAAGAAGTCTCAAACGAATATACCATTTAACTTTGCGAGAGTATAAAATGTTCAGTTACATCCGAACTTAGCCCTTCCTTACTTGTTGGTAGTCGTTTTTTTTTCCCGCCAAGCTGATTACATATCCTAAGAACTCTACTTTTGTTGCAAATGTACGTTTACATAGGGATGGCAAGATTAATCAAATGAAAAGATTAATTACGAAATCTCAAGGCACAAACAGTCACCGACGTAAAACCGTGTCTCAAATCAGCTGATACGACCTATCTTATGAGAGCGCAATGTAAATGAACAGTCATCACCGCTTCTATCGTCCGCTTCAACAGCCCGTACTATATACGAAAATTGGATTTTTCTCGAAGAAACGAGGGAGCTGAGAGTGATAGAGCAATCTCTTGCAACGCAGGGTTGACACAGTGGCGCCGTCTTGTTGAAACCAAATGTCTCCCAGATCACGAGCGTCAATTTCAGACATCAAATATTCGGTTATCATGGCGCGGTAACAGTCGCCATTGACGGTGACGTTCTTACCGGCATCATTTTTGAAGAAATATGGACTGATAATTTCAACGGCCCAAAAACCTATTAAGCGATTTGTAGTTGTAAAGTTGAAAGATTGTAAACGTTATTTAGGCGCAAGTCTTTCCATGATAAAAAGCCAGGTAATTCTGAACAAAAATAACATGACAGCTTTACTACAAATTGTAATTAAATTAAGTTTATTGTAATCGATTACCAATTGATACTTCTATTCACCTGGATACTACTAGTTTTTTCTTAACGATCAATACTGGGGAGTTATATGCAGATTTTTATCTCCTTATTTTACCGTTAGTGATAAGTCCTCCGACCTGGCGTTCGATTTTTTCTTTTAATATCATTGCAAATACATATTTTGAATAAACAGACGTTTCGTTGGTTGTCCTGATTTCACCTTTTACTAGAGTAGTATAAGTGAAAAATGTGGAATGTTGACTCGGACATTGTCAATTTCGTGCGATATTAGTTACTTTAGCGGTATATTTATAAATTGTCATTAAGTTTTTATCAGTATAGATAATTGCTTTTAACTGGTTGAGAGTGTCCTTATCTACTATGCCATGGAGTGACTTAAAAGTTAAGTTAATAACTTTCTTTTTCCTACTTGTGGTCCAAAAATAAATGGTGCGTAATTTCTATCATTCCGGCAACTGATTTTATCGTAAAGGGTTTTTCATTTTAAATTGGATTCCTAATTCTAGTTGATTGGATATAATTCTTAATAGATTCAGTGTCAATCAAAAAAAAACTATCGTGACTTCGCTCCTTGTTGTAATTCGCAATAAGCAACGAAAACGGGGCTAATCTACAAAAGAAATGGTATCAAGATCATCTTGTTTTGCAGTATCATAATTGTTATGGTGAGAAACGTCGTCATAAATTCCGTTGGGATCTGATTCTTCTTGGTAATCGTTTGGGTTTGTTGCTTCCGTGTTAGTGTTGAAATTTCGTTGTATTTCATTTGGAGAGTGAGCTAGTTGTGTGGGAAGCTGATCGGTAGTCAATTGTCTTGGAGGGCACCAGGTCTATTTTGGTAATTAACTTGATTTGAATGTAGTGACTGGTCCACCTCCATCGAGATCGGTGGTTTTGGTGACGGCAGCGACATACCAAACAGCTGATATACACAACTTCGTTGTTGTCGTACTAAAATATCTCACTTGAATGAAATTTAAATATTTTGTTCAAAGTGAAATATTTTGTGCAAAAAATAAGTCGATTCATTTTTTTAAGTTATCGATAGTTATTGCAAATGATATATCAGAGCTATTTTATGCTTTTCTTGGTAAAATAACGGAAGACTTGTTAGAGCTTTGAATAATTTTACGTTTCATATATAATGTCAGCACTACAGCTGCCCATTGGCGTTGGTAAAATTAGAAATTGTTTATTTTAGTGACAGCGACAACTGCAAGCCTACTGTCGTAAAGTCGTTCTGTTTTCTAAATAACAGTGCCCATAAGAACGCGTATATTTTAATTTTTGTCAGATGCTACCTGTCCGCCGCCATTGTGTTGATAGTGATGTAATATCACAAAGAAGGTTCTAGTCGTAGCTGCTGCGCAAAATTGCAACATTTGAAAAGTAGTTGCGCAAGAAACTACATCAAAACCAACTGTGCCAACTAAAATTCCCTTGTAAGTGGTTTATGTTAAATATAATTTTAATATTATTTTTTTATTATAGTTGTGTTTTTTTTTTAATTTAATAGATAGACGAAGAGGAGATTGCGACAAGTGCACTAAAGTTACTAGTGAGAGTCCGCCTGGACATGGAGGGGCAGTTTTATGCTGGGCGCAAAAATAAATAATTTATAAAGGACTAAAGGCTTCCAGAAATTTAAAAGGTCAAGCCAAAATTTAATCAGACAAGAATAAATTTCCAGAAAAATTTTAAACCGTTTATCAACTTACAAGAGAATTAAGCAGATGAATCAGTCGACTTAGCGAAACGCCACGGTATCGTCATTTTACGAACAGTTCGATGAAGTATACGGTGTTCGCCACTCCATAAACCCTTCTAAAAGCAAAATGCAGACCTCGCTGACTGTAGATTGCATAGAATGTATCAAATGTACAAATACAAAAAGAGAAATATTGATCTTAAATTTATTTAAAAATTTGGTCGAAATTTTGTTTAGGCAACTAAGAATACATAAGTTCGGGGTAAAAGACTCTGCTATATAAAAAGTATGTTGAGGAGGTCATAACGATGGTTGGTTAATTGGTTTATGAATATTAAGAGCATGATTAATTCTCTAGGTCACATTGTCTAATCTTGGACACAGATGTGGGTCAAGGTTGTTGGTTCTCGTATGCTAAGGAGACGAGATAAATCGCCGTTTAGTCCTCTAATGAAGGTCTCGAATGATTTGTCCCTGTATGAATTAGTCATTGTCCTTATGCACTCGTCACTTAGATCGAAACATAAAATTTCATCTAGTATAAGGGAAAAGTGTTAGTATACATATTGGTAAAACGTCGGGATATATTCATGGCGCTGATGGAGGTAATATTAAATAATTTAAAACATTTCATATTTGTTTATTTTAATTTTATTTCAAGGTGTTTTCCAGCAAGCTACCTTTGGTCCAGCACTCTTTAAAAACAGATTACCACTACTACTAAGAACTAATTTATGGAAGGAATCCACAACAGAGTTTCTACTTTTTTTGGGCGACGCAACGTTCTCATTGAAGGAAAAATTAATGCGACCTTTTCGTAAGTTTTCAATTATCGGTTATCGCGAGTTTGGCGAGTAATAGAAAACATTTTTGATACTTAACTGCTTCAATAATAATTAATATCTCGAAGCAATGTATTAAAAAGCGCATTCCGTTTAAGGGACCTTTTGGCAGAGTACCATATTTTGTAAACCAAGGAGTGATTTCATTTCAAGAAAGTCATGTACAGCATCTACCAATAAGGATGACATGATTTTGACAGCTCGTAGCGGCCATGTTTGTTTACGGATTTGTATAAAACTGTATCTATTGTTTGCTGTTTGGTGCGTTACCATCAATAACGAGCGTGATAACACGATGTTGACTGACTTTTTTTCGGAATTTGATGAAAAAATCTGAGACTTAGAGGAGGACAGTAAATTTTGCGCTGAAATTCACTTTGTAAAGATACATCTCGGTGCGAAGTTGAGTGTTGTATTACCAAATGTTTCACAAATGGTAAAATTGTTCATATTAATTTTGAATTTCTGTAGCTAACTAGTCGCGGTGTTAAAAATTACTACATGGACACGAATAAAACTGAAGCTTAAATACAATTCCATCAACTTTATCCAAATTTGTATGATTGCAAACACTCCGAGTATAAAAACAGAATAAAAAAGTAGAAAGTTTAAATAAAATAGCTTAAGAAGTTTCTATGGTTACTAAACTCAAAAAAAGTACATGTAGCGCAGCTGATGATTATGTCCCCAAGTTGTGGTGCTACAAAGAACTTCAGTATTGCGCTGGAGTGGATGATGACATTGCAGGTGAATCAAATATTTCTTCTTTGGATGCCACATCTGGTGAAAATGAGCATGTAGAATGTGACGAATTGAAATCCTATTAAATATGTGTTTTCTAAATACATATATGTTTGTTAAAAGTCATTTCGAATTGCCTTTTTTTGTATGTCTTTTATGCAGGCAAAAAGTCCGGACTAGAACTTATGGCAGATTGTTTAATAGAAAGCGCATTGCAGTTGATTAATACAGTGAAGAAAAGTGATATCAAAACTGACTTCTTTTTTCTGCATGTCGGAAGTGAGATGCAAGAACTTTTCGTTCCTATACTCCGCAACACAAATGGAGAATTTTGGACATTATTTGCGATGCTCAAAAAGCAATTAAAAGAAAACAAGCATTTTGGACGATGGTTTGGCTCTTACGTTTGGTAGCGAAGATTTTTAGACGGTTTAACGGTTACATCAACATAAATTAATACCAAATGTAGTGCCCCACATGGGATTGAATAGGTTTTGAATTGTGTGAGGTTTACCTTATGCTGGCGAAAATTCAAGAGCTCAAATGAAATAAAATCACATTTTGTAAGCCTACAAATAAATGAAATTATTACATTTACATCAAAATTATTAAATTTCGAAACTACTTACCTTTCTTAGCTATCCATTTCTTTATTTTGCTTTGTTTATTTTTATAAAACCGCAAAATGCTTTTCACCTCATGTGCAAGAATAACCTCACAAACTTTTCCTCACAAAATAGTTGTGAGGTTTTCTCTTTCAGAATGGGGCTGGTAGTCGAAAATTAAACAGTTTTCTTCTGGTACGGTTGTTGAATATTTATACGGTTTCCTATAACACAGTATGGCAGATTGCGATTATTACCAATTGTCTCATTAGTTGGAAAGTGTTGGACAGCTTTATTAAGTACATCGCGCAATGCGCTTCTATTCAGAACAGCGATATCGCTGATGCGTCCATTGTATCCAACATCATGTAATGTAAATTTATAGTTAGCATCGCACATCGCTAATAAGACAATACTGTTAAATCCTTATAGTTATAGCATAAAACTCCGTCGACTTTTGATGCTCTAATAGCAACATGCTTTCCTTCAGTAGCACCGATACAATGTATTAAATTAGGATATTGCCCACGGTTGTTGAAACCAACTTAGATTTCCCGCCAAGCGGATTAATTTTCTGGAAAAAGTAATAATAAAGTAATTAATAAAATTATTAGACACATATATGTACATATGTATTATATGTTTGTATGTACATACAAATAGCATGTTTGAGTATGTATACCTTCAAATAGTAGCTTCTATTTTTTTTTTAAATAATGTCAAAGCAAAAAACTATGGCCGATGACAGATAAGCCTGAGAGCGAACTGTTTGAATGTCCAATCTGCGATAGCTTTCCCTTGTAGCTAAAAATCTTAGCGTAACAGCGAGGCATTGCTCCGGTCCTATTGCTGCCCTCATTGCTGTATCTTGCTCAAAGCATCCTCCAAAAAACTTAAAAGCATTTTAAACTGGTATTCATTCATACGCAAATAATATCAGTACCAGTTTTTACCTTCCAGACGAAGCCCATTATTTACTAAAGCAAAAGAGCCCCGCTGATCTTTGTTTAAACGACAGGGATGTACCATAACCACGATTTCCTTCGGCGCTTCAGCTGTTTAATTCCAGTTCCGTATAATCACAACTATCAACATGATGACAGGCTAACTTTGCACCCGCATAAACATTCTTATTGCGTGCGAAGTTTGGCGACTAGTTAATTTCGAGAAATGGCCCAGTCAAAATCCCGCCAAGATCATGAGATTTAACGCCTTTAAATTATTTTCTTTGGAAGTATGTTAAATCAAAGGTTTACGGGTCATCAGAAATTGGCGTTAATGCAAACGGAGTCGTGGTGGCCATTTAGTCGAAATTTTGTTCAAATCATAAATTTCATAAAATTATATGCAAGTTAACGGCAGCCTCCACAAAGTAGCTTTACGCTCATTATAAACAAAACTATTTCTTTGCACTCAGCAATAATACAACTCTTTAATAAGCATCTTTGCTTATTTAAGTAATCAATACTCTTTTCAATAAAGCTAAGACCACAGCTTCTTAAATAAGCATCTTTGCTTATTTAAGCAACCAATATTCTTTTTATTAAGCTGAGACCACCCATGCACTGTAAACAATAAAACTAATTGCTGAATAAGCGAATATTGTAAATTGACACTTATTGTAAGACTTAAGCATATAAGAAAAATGTATAATTAAGAGCAAATTTAAATAAAGAGATTCAGTCTTCCATCAGGACCACTCAACTTAATCGTTTGATTTATTCCGCGCGTTCGCGCGGAAACTTATATGTTTTAATACTTCCATAAAGAAGGAAGTTAATTGGCGCCCAACGCGTGGGGCATGTATTAGTGATATCCTCGGTAAAAAAAGGGTGAAAAAAACAAGTATCCCTAGCCGAAAGGATAATCATAGTGACGTGTGTCGAAACCACAAAATATAGCAATCAAGTATCCTCTCGAGAAAAGTAAGTGCGCAAATAAAATTAAAAAAACCACAAAAACCGATTCAAATATCAAAAAATCAAAAAGTTCTAATACTAAAGATTTTTATAGTTTGAAGAGTAAGAATTGTGGAAAATATTTTCGCGTGAAGTAAGAAATCAATTTGTTCTTACTAATATAGTATTGTTTTATGGGTAGAGCGATTGCAAGCAAACAAGTGTTGCAACAAACGAATCTGCAAAAAATGCAACAAGCGTGTATGTAGTGAAATAACAACAACAGCAAGCAAACTATAACAAAAGTGTTGCTCTATAACTACGCCACTTTCGAAGCAATTCAAATTGAATAAAATGTGTGAAAAATATAAAACATAACATCAAATATTAACAATCGAAGAGTCAGAACAAAAGAATAGTACAAAAAAACTTCAGCGGCCAAAGGCATACAAACCCCGTGCGAGAAATCAACAGTAGCGAAACAATTAAACAGCAATCAGCATAAGCGAAGCAATTAAACAGGAATCAACAGAAGCAAAGAAATTATAACACCAATCAACAAACCCCTTTAGAGAAGGACGAAAAACTAGTAAGCTAATATTTTTATATATAATATATTAAATTTATAACAATAAAATTGTATTATTGTAATAATCCTAGTAATATAAAATATTTTAAGTATAAGTACTCAAATTTATAAAAAAGCATGTTATAAATCAAGGCTCGACCAGCCATATAACAAATATTTTGAAACCGCGATTCACCACCGCAAGGGGGACCCTCCGGTTTATAACATAAACTCAATTCTGCGATTCTGTACTTCAGACCCTCCAGAATAAAAGAGTTTCCTTTCCTAGAAAGGATCAAAAATTATAAAAAAGCATCTTGTAAATGAAGGCTCGACCAGCCATATAACAAAATATTTAAAAACCACGATTCACCACCGCAAGGGGACCCTCCGGTTTATAACATAAACTCATTTCTGCGATTCTGAACTCCAGACCCTCCAGAATATAAAGGTTTCCTTTCCTAGAAAGGATCAAAAAAATTTATTGTTAAAAAGAGGAACAGGAAGTTTCCACAAATCGAGCCGAAGGTTATTTATTTATTTATTTAAACGCCAATCGGCAATATACATAGATATAATAAAGAATCAAAGTATTATACAAAAGTAGCTAGGGTATATTAGTGTAATATCTGGAAAATATTTAAATAATTGTAAGTTAATATGTAATTTAGACTTGATTTAGATGTAATTTAGACGAGCAGGTGTCTCTTGGTGTTTTCGGTAAAAGCAGCGTATGTTCCTCCATAGAAATCAATTTCACCTTGAAGTGAATTTACTAAATTAGCCAGTCTATTCTGAGGACCATGGATAACATAATTTTTCTTGGATTTCGATGTTTTTAGTAATCTATTTCGCCTCAGGGTAAGACCAACAGGGGCGAGTTCAAAACTGTTTAGGATCTCATTGTAGAAAAAGCAGTGGTCAGCGACCTGTCGACGATAAGACAGTTTGTTTATACAGTAGCACTGGTAGACCTCATCAGTAGAGCAGATGTGACTTGGTGAAGATAGTTTATAGGCCAGTGACTTACAGAATTTACGCTGCACCTTTTCAACTTTATCGATTGTCGTGTTAGTGTAGGGAGACCAGATTACCGAACCATATTCCAAAATAGGTAGTACAAGTGACTTGAATAGTCTAATGAGTGTCCAAGTGTTTTTGAAATCTTTACCACTCCTCAGTATAAATCCAAGGGATTTGAACGCCTTTGATGTAATTTTGTCTACGTGGTATGAGAAGGTGAGCTTATTATCAACAATGATACCTAAGTCTTATATGTTCTCGACCTCAGCTATCTCAATCCCATCAAGTTTGTAGTTTGTGCGGATCGGTGAGTGTGAGCGAGCTAAACATACGGCCGCACATTTGTTTACGTTGAGATCCAGCTTGTTCACTCGACAACAGTCACTGAGGGTATTTATGTCTTGTTGCAAGATTATGATGTCTGTCTCACAAGTAATCGGTCTAAATATTTTGAGGTCATCAGCATACAGAAGGAAATCAGAAGCAAAGTTATTACCAATGTCGTTGACGAAGATGTTAAACAGTACAGGACCAAGGTGAGATCCTTGTGGCACACCAGAGATTACTTCATATTTACTGGATAAGCGGCCATCTACTCTGACTAGCAAGCGTCTGTCTGTGAGGTATGTACGTATCCAAGCTAATGCACGTCCAGCCACACCATATTTGCGTAGCTTATCTAAAAGTATTTCGTAGTCAACACGGTCGAAAGCCTTGCTGAAGTCTGTGTAAATGCTGTGTGTGCAGTTGCCGGAATCCATGGAGTTCAGCAGTTTGTCGACGTATATGAACAAATTGGTAGTGGTGGATCTGCCACCAGTAAAGCCATGTTGTTTGGTTGTTATGATGTTTTCAAATGCCTGACGTATCTGTGGAAACACTAACCTCTCAAATAGTTTTGCAAGTGCAGACTATATGCAGATAGGACGGTAGTTGGTAACCAAGGTCTTGGGCCCCTCTTTATGAATCGGTGAGATGTATGACAGTTTCCAGTAGGTCGGGAAGGTACCATGGTGAAGAGATTCGCCAAATATATGTGTCAAGGGCTCACATAGGCCTACCGCACAGTTTTTGATGAATATGTTAGGCAAACCATCGGGCCCTGCACCTTTGCTGGGGTCGAGAGCAAGGAGTTCTTTGAGTACTGCATCGTAAGTTACTGTCAGGGCATCCAAATGTGTGCGCTGTGTACCAGGATTGAATGTTGCAATACCTGGGTCGTTGCGCGTAGATGCTGTGGAAGAAGGACGCAAAGAGGTTACTGATACCTGGTCCCGTATCTGCTGAGCGGTCATTCCAGGCTACGGAAGATGGTATGTCACCAGTGCAACGGTTTTTGTCCTGACCTTCCAGAATACTTTGATCTCCGATTGTAGTTTGTCCTCTACCTTGTCGACATAACTTTTGTAGTATTCGATATTTAACTTTTTGCATTCCAATCTTAACCTGCTAAATCGTAAATAATTTGGCTTAGTTTTCCGAATTTTATATATCAGGTGTGCAGATTTCT